AGAAATATAAAATTAAAAAATTAACATCTTATTATTCATCCCACAATGTCGTGTTGTTAAACGGCACGTTTTGAGCCGATTTGTCAAAACGGCTAACTTAATATTTTAGCCAGAAAAATATTGCCTAAATCTTGAAATTTCCATAATATATGTCTAACTTCTATAAGCAAAATCTTCAGGCTTGCGTAATATTTCTCTGGATGAAATATTAAGCTAGCCATTTTTAAAAGCGGTTCAAAACGAACCATTTAACAACACTACCACAGTGGATATAATCCTTATTAGATGCCATTTTTTCCTTTAATTTTTAACGTGTTTTTAGGATAGCTATTTTATCTTTTGAAAAACAGTTTTGAGTCAAATTTTTAATAGGTTAATATTTTGATATTATTATAAACTACTATTATTTTAAGACATAATATACCATGGTGCGACAATAATATATAAAATCTTAATCTTTTTCATCATATCCCTCTGATCCTTATTTTCTAGATACTAAATAATTCATTTCTAATATGGCATCCTTATCGTGTTAATAATTCAAGGCTTCAATATATTTACATAATTATTTCTTCTAAAGATTTTTAGTGTTTTTGGTTTAACAATTTATCTAAGTAATAAATTCTGATATGAGTTTAAATCGTGAGTGTCATGTATGACTGTAAATTAACCAGCATCTATTATTTGTGTGGGTAGTATAATTTAAGATTATTACTCCTGCTACTAAGAGCATTTAATTGCATACTTTGGATGAGCAATAATGGTCAACTGTCTAGTCGTTTATATATCATTAAAAATAGAAGATAATATTTAAAAAAATTAATATCTAACAATAATTTTATCGATTACTTATCTAGATTCCATAATTACATCTAAGAAGACGCCATAGGTGTAGCCAGAATTTTCCTAAGGGGGGAGGGGGAATTAAAAAATTTATAGGGGCTTCGCCCCTAGACCCCATTTGGGGCGGGTTTTCGGCCCGCTTTTGCCCGGCCTTCGTTAGTCTATATATTGTCATAAAATATTCTTACAGGATAGTAGGTTAATTTTAATAAAAAAAATAATCCTGGAACAAATATGAAACATATTTTTATTAGTTTATATAAAATATAATAAATTAATTGTATATACTTTAATATAAAAGCATGGTAATAATTTATTCCAAACAAATATAAGAAATTTACTTATAAAAAGTAAGTAGACATATAGTTGATATTCCTCTATTATATAGAATTGGTTACAAAATACTAGGTAAAATTCCACTTTTACAGACATATTTGACAGTTAGAGAATATTACAGCTAATATTTAACATTAATCTTCATATTTTTCATCCCATAATGTCTTTAAAAGATATTTTCTGATGTCCATATCAACATTTTATAGTTTTTTGTAAAATATATAAAACGCTATATTGGTAAAAATAACTTGATTGTCATATGATATTTGGTAAAAATTACTTGATTATCATATGATAATTGATAAAATTAGATATATTATAAATCTACGACCAGAGTTGTTAAAAGATCGAATCAAAAGATCGACGATCCTGGATTCGATAGCAAATTTGTCAATTTTACGAGATTTATGATTCTGACTTAAATTGAGGATCGAGATCATTTTGTTTAAAATTCGATCCCGATCTTTTTAAAAATTAATTTTTTACTTAAAAAGCAATAAATAAAATAAAAATTTTGAAAATTAAATTAAAATATTATTTTTAAAAAAAATATCTATCTTCATATTTTATCAACTTCCATTACCATTTATTTTATAGATATATTTATTCATTTCCTAAATTTTACGAGATTTAGAGCTCTTACAAGTTATTTAATATAAATTTATAATAATAAATTAATATTTATTTTAATAGGTAAATGTAAATGTCCATTATAGATTTAGAAGATTCTATTGAGAAGATATTTAATAGCTCCCAACAAGACAAGATGGAATTCTTATTACCAATCCATGAAATTAATAGATAAGATGCTTTCTGAAAAGTTTTCAGAAGTAGAACAAGTATGTGATCAAATTGGATTTGCAATGTTTAGGCAAGAGGAATGTTTTTTTGTTAAAGAGTATGCAACAGTAATACAATGATATTCTCTAAATAAATTTAAATTTTATAGGTTATAGGTTATGGAACCTTTGGCGATCTTGTTAAAAATCTTGGAACGGGAGGATAATATGGAGCAGGGATATCTAACTTCCGTTCTATCGATATTGATAGCTAAATTAACGAAATTTAGCTGCCTGCGGTATTGTCAGCCCCTTGTAGATAGTGTTCTTAGAGGTATTGATAACAGGTAATATTTTTTTATGCAATTATTTTATATTAACAGATATCTGCAAAATATATTAAAAAATTGCAAAGATCTGGCAAATTTAGTAAAATATTTTTAACAGGCCAGTTCTACTAAACCTCTGATATCTAGTAAAATTTTAATGGGCCTTTGAAGACATTAAAAATTTATTAGATTATTTGAATTTTAAGCTAATATTTTGATTAATATTCTTTGTAAATAAATTACAATGTTAATTTCTTTGTATATTAAGTATTAAGTTTACATTTAATCAATATTTATGATATTACCCAAATATAAATAAATACCATACAGATGATGTGCCAGACTTGACTGTAAAATTTAAAAGGGTTAAGTTTTGCAGATACTTGATTTGATTTATATGAATAAAATGAACACTTATTTAATAATAAACTAATTATCTTTTCATAATATAGATTTCCTTCACTGTATGAAGACAGTAACATTTTAGCAGCCATGATTCACCCTAAATTTAAACTTAATTGGCCTTATATTAATCTGCCACAAAATATGATGGTAAAAGAAAGATTAGTTGCCCATTTGGAAAATATGCAGGAACAACCATATGCGGATATCTCAAATGAATGTATGGATGACATTGATGCTTTTTTTGGGAAAAATACTGTACAAAATGCTTGTTCAGTTAATGATGATTCCATGAATATTTTTTATACTTATATTAATTTAAAAAAAATATTTATTGAATATTGTTTAGTAAAGCTAAACATGTTCTAAATGAAAGACGCGGATGTTTAAATGATGATAATTTAGAAAAAATTTTATTATTAAAATCTAATTTTAATTATAAATAAATATATTATAATTGTTATAATTATTATTCAATTACAATAAATTTCTACCATATTTAATTTATTTTTATATTAGTTAATTTTGCATCGGTTATATTATATTATTATTCAATTACAATAAATTTATAACATATATTAGTTAATTTTGCATCGGTCAGAAATTTCCTTCAGAAATTTAAATAGAAAAAAAGGTCGATCCTGGATTTCGATCCTCTTTTTTTGAAAAGATCGTGATTCGATCGTTTTAAAAAGATCGGTTAACAAGCCTGTCTACCACATATAATATTCCACTGTTTATATTGTGCTTTAATTTTTTTATTTAATTTATGATATAATTTTATCAATAGTTTTATTATTATTTACTTTTATTAAGATAAATAAATTAAAATTACTTACTTCCCTTTTGTCTTACGACTTATCTTTGGCTTATATTCCATTTCTTAAAAAACATTTTTGGTTTACTTTTTTTATATATAAATGCTTTTTTCCAATAATGTATAAATTATGATGAATAGTTTTATAAAAAAATATCAACTTTTACATTCTTTCTTTCAAATTATTGTTTAAGATATTTACATACATTTTTGGGGGTCAGGGAGTGAGGGGAGGACTATGGGGGATATTTTTTGTTAGCCTAAAATGATATTCACAAAAAGTGATAAATTTCTGAAGGGGGGGAGGGAATTTCCCCTTGCCCCTCCCCCTGGCTACGCTTATAGAAGACGTTCTAACCCCCATATAGTTTTATGATTTGGATTAGTCGTTTCGTTTATACTCTCTTCTTCAAGAATTATTGATAGGCCTGGAAATTTTTCTTTATGTCTATTCTATAAAACATTGTCTAAAATGGTAAGAATGTTATATTAATTTTATGTTAAGAATTATATTGCCTTGTGTGGTTTCTAAAAACCCTTATCAATTGAGACAGTGTATGAATTAATTAACTATCTTGTAATTCTTGAGACGTGTTACATGTATGTAATATTTCAATTTAAAGTTTTTTATTTATTATTGTCTTATGCGTTATTATAAATGTACATTTTAATGTACTGTTTAAGGTCTTATGTTTTATTTGGACTTGTTATTATATTATAAATAATATTTTATTTCATTTTATAATAATTTTTATTTTATAAATCATGGTTAAAGGCTTTACTTTAATCGTATATGTTATATGTTTTATTTTGAGTTTAAAGATTAATTATTTTAATCAGAGATGAAATATATATATATTTCAGAAATAGATTAATTATTTTAATCAGAGATGAAATATATATATATTTCAGAAATAGATTATAAAATTATATTTTCGAATTACCTCATTGTTAATAATATAAAAGAATTCTGTGTTGATCATAAATAGTTAATAATAAAACATACATTCTCAATCAATACTACCGATTTTCAAGTTCTTATATTATCAAGCACTACTAACGACTACTAGCTATTTCTTTTAGACGTAAATTTTTTTTTTTATATATCCGTATTCTAAAATATTTAATATTGTAATAAATGGATAATTTTTTTTTATTAAAAAATATTATATTTAGAAAAGTCTTATATCGTTTTGCATTCATTATTTATGCATAATAAATGACAAAATATGAAAATCAGAATAATTGTTCAGAGTTTGCAAATAAATAAAAAAATTATGATATATTAATATAAAACCCGACCGAAGGCCCGCAAAATATGGTAGTCCCCAAAAGGCTAGTGACGCACTTGGACTTATAATAAAGTATTAAATAAATTTTTATAGCCATATATTTCGCGCCATTTTATAATTTAATTCGTATGCTAACTTCATTTCATTTATTAAAAATACATGTTTTTATAATTTTTGCTAGTGGATTTGTATGGTATCAATATATTTTTATCGATTTTTAAATTCGATGGCAACCTTCATGTAATAAACTTGCCTCCAGATAATGGTTAGGAAAATGGGCCTTATCATGCCTTTAATTATTCAGAACTGAATTTATGACTTGTAAAATTAATTGCATCTATGATTATGATTACTATTGATATCATATTCAATCATGGTTGATAATGAACAATATGATATATGGAAAAAACAAGATGCACAAGAGCTAAATATCAACGATTTCAAACATGGACATGGCCATTTTTTTATTAAAAAATCTTTTCATAAACCAACATACTGTCATCATTGTACAGAAATGCTTTGGGGTCTAATAGGACAAGGATATATATGTGAAGGTAAATTTTTTAGAACAATATAATTATTACATTAAAACCATTTTATTTATCTTCAAATAGCAATTTTATAGTTAGCTAAAATATGTTGTGGATATTGTTAAAACTTACTATTTTTTTAAATATTCAATTGAAATATACTCATAAATTATAATTATATAAATAAATTTATACTTTATAATATGTTATTCCTACTTTAATCTACTTGGAAAAATCTTGTGAATAAAAATAAATATATTTTATATAACCTTTTAATATCTATCTATCATTATCTTACATTTAGTAATGTAAAGGATAATTTATTTTTTTAAAATACAACAGATTTAAATGAATTATTAGTAAATTAATAATATTAAGAGAGATAGTGATCTCAATATATAGAAAAATCTTTAATTATTAAATAATTGGTTTTTTGAAGGATCAATATTAATTATTAATTTATTAATAATAATTTTAAAATAGAATTGAAAATATCATAACAAAACAAAAAATTTTGTAGGCTGGGTCAAAAAACCTTTTCTAAAATTTCCAATAGGGCTATTCCATGCAAACCTTTGATTACTACTTTTTAAAAAAATAATGCACAACTATGAAGTTACTTTTCAAAAAAAACTAGGAATATGATATTTAATGTAAAAAAATGATATTTTGAATTTAAGCATTAAAAAAATATCAAATAAATGCAATTATTTTTTATACATTTAACAATATATACAAAATATTTTTAATTTCTTTTTTATACAACAAGAATATAAAAAAATGACAATATTTAAGATAAGTCAGAATTATGTATTGTACTCAATTAGAACAGATTTTGATTGAGATCCTTTAAAATAACCTGTGAGGTGCCTGTAATTAGTCTAAGCCTTTTTAATTTATTTCACTTTTGTGTCCTGAATAAAATACCCCACCACCTAGAAAAAGTAATGGTTGAGCACAGTCATTTTATAACATTATACACATCTGTTTTTCTCTGTGATATGTTAATATTTTCCCAATTTATTCTATGTTAATTTTCTTAGTATCATAATAAGGTCATATTGAAATAATTATAGAGATTTTTCCTTAAATTTAAACAATAATTTCTAAATTAATTTCTTATAGGCGTTTATAATATTAAAAATATTATTTCATGATCAATCGAATATATAAAAAATGTTTTTATTTAAAAACTAATAAAATACAAGCAAAAAAGAAAATTGATTTATTAAATCATGATTTTGATTCAAAAAAATCATTGATTTGAATCATGCCATGAATGATAGCCATGGATATAATAAAATTATGACACAATAGTAATTAAGGATTCAATTTTTTTATTCTTTTCAGATTGTGATGAATTTCTTCAAGGAGCCAAAACAGATGTAATTAAATTTTCATTTCTTAAAAAAGAGATCAAAAAAGCAATAAAAAGTTTTTAAAAAAGGGTAAAATAGTGAAACACAAGAGGGACAACTTTTGTTATTATTTTATTAAATAAATATAAAAAAAATGCATTAAAAAATTATTTACTAGCCATTTACAAAGGTTGAATAATTTGGTATTGTAAAAAAAACAAAGTATCAATAATGCGGGGCATAAATAACCTAAAGTAGTATATGTTGGTGGTCCTGACATGATTTAATGACATATTATCTTAATTATACATATTGTGAGTAATGTTATTAAGAGTTTGAGACTACAAAAGAAAAACTTGTTTTCACGAAAATTATTTGTCGTTGGGTATTAATATATTATAAATACAAAAAAATAGTTATTTTTTAATGACAGGCTGGGGACTATCAAGGGAGGCGACGGGTTGGTTGTTCGATTCCCTGCAGGCCCCTTTTTCCCAAATTCAAACTTTTCTGCTACAGGGTTAGATATTAGTTATTGGTCAGGGCATTCGGGGTAAAGTAGGAACTTGAAAAGGGAGGCTTACTAGCATGCCAAACAATTAGAATTCCCAAACTGTAAATATCATCACTCATATGCTACATTCTATTTTTGTATTAATTTTTTTGCAGAAATAAACTTTAATATTTATTTAAGTTGAAAGCAATAATTTTTATCAAAGACCTGCAGGCCGGACGAAAAAGGTATAATTTTTATAGTCCGGGCCTGACTTTGAAAAAATTAAAAATCCGGATGCGGTATAAAAGTAGTAAAAAATTAAAAACCGGGTTGATCTTTTTAGCAATAAATTTTAATTATTTTATTAATCAGTTAGAAAATCATATGATGGAACGTTTAATATTAATTTACTGCTGGATCATTCAGCATCAACCGAAATCAAAAACGTTTTAACCCTCTTCTATTTTAACGAAATTTGATAAGGAAAGTAAAATCAATGTAAGGCAGTTGAAATTTTACTTTTAACCATCTATATTCTTGTAAGATATTAGGGATCAAAGCCAGAAAAATCGTATGTTTTTATTATTATCTGCCATCATTTAATTGATTTGCTATGATTTTAAATAACAAATTTTATGACAAATAGTGGAGATATTTTATTTTTAGAAAATTTCATTTTATTCATTGTACAAGATCTAAAAACGATTTTTTAAAATATTGGAAGCTAAAAAATTGATAATTTTTTTAAATAATATCACTATAAACCTCCTTTATATTTATTTTAAAAAATTGTCATGGGATCGGCATGGCTTCATTATCAAGATCGAAAATAAATTTTAAGGGGGAATAAATAATTTACCACCAATGGGCATATTGGTAAAGCTTGTATATTATGATAGTTTTAATGTTTTATTGATAAAAGTTATGTAAAGTTAATTATATAAAATTGTAATATTTTCCATGCTAAAATTTTCTAAAAGAATCGGCATCATTCAAATTTAATCTACTTTAAACATTCTTGGAAGTTATAACTTAGAATTAATTATCATCTTTTGATGTTCACATAAATTAATTTTTATAAAAATTTTGATTTTATTAATTTTTTCATGGACGAAAAAATTTCTTGTTAGATTTCATCTTTTTAGGCTTTTCAATAACAATTAGAGTGATGTTGTTAAACGGCTCGTTTTGAGCCGATTTTTAAAAACGGCTAACTCAATATTTTCGCCAGAAAAATATTGACTAAGCCTCGAAATTTCGATACTATGAGTCTAGACCTTTGCTCCTTCTATGAGCAAAATTTTCAGGCTTGCATAATATTTTTCTGGATAAAAAACCAGTTAGCCGTTTTTAAAAATCGGCTCAAAACGAGTCGTTTAACAACGCTAAACCAGAGTAAGAGGCAAAAAATATTCATTTAAAAAAATTTGCACATGGTAATAATATTTTTTCTTTTGATAATTTAAAGATATATACAATATCTTTTGCAGGAAGCCATGTGCTATGATAAATTTAAAATATCCAGACAAAAATTTAAGAAATATGCTGCTTTAGATGATCTCCCTCATCACAAATATGTGATAACTTTCGTAAAGGCATAAGTCGTACGATAAGCTAGATCCAAATTTTAAGCATAATGAGGGGAGGCCGACTCTTGAATCAATAAAAACTTCAATAAGAGAAATGACAAGGTCCAATTTAAAAAATTGACAAATAAAAGAAGCGATTGAAGATATATTCTTAAATATAAAGAAAATCTTCCACGTTTATCAAAATATAATAAATATAAAATGCTAATCAAAGTACCAATGGCAAGACAAGCCAAAATTCTGCAGCTCTGGGCCTGGGGAAGCTGTTGATTAATTACAATTCAACTTGACAAAATTTAATATTGAAACGAAGTCATAACAGTACAATGATGCCCAAAAGATTGCATAATATTAGTGCATCTTCACATACAATGTTTTGTAATACAAAATATTATTAATGGTATTGTTATGTGTACCAAACTCGAATGAAGAAATAAAAAAAACAAATATTTTTAAATATTATTTTTCAGAACGTTCCAAAACTAATCCCCGTTCCCGATCCTTTCATGTTTCATAATTTTGCCCAAGTTTTGTTTCCGGAACATTTCGTTCTATGTCCCTGCTTAAAAGTATTTTTTTCAAAAATAAAAAATAATGTAAGTTTTAATTTATGTTTTCTTATATAAATTCTTTCTCGCAAGGTGGCGCATTTGCAAAAATAGATCATTATATAAAAATTGATAAAAATTTAATGTAATATTGGGTTTATTATCGTTATAATATTTTTTGACAATAATGAATTACCTTGGTGTCACCCACCCCTATGGGTAAAAAACAAGTTATCAGCCTTGGCATGGATATCGGCGCATTGATTGTGGACGATGGTCATTCTCATTAATAACTGTTTTTATTTTTATTGATATATTTTATATATAAAACCTGGTATCGAATATTTGATGAGAAATTATTAATGGAATAAATAATTTGTATACTAAATTATTCGAATTTATTAAAGCCCGAAATACCACCTCAATATTTTACTGGAAGTTACCTTATTTATTTTTTATCCAAATAATAATTCCTAAAAAAAGTATATAAATGAATATAAGAATTAAATTTCTCGTAAACTTATTTTTTTGTGCTCCTTTAAAATAAAAATGTTTTTAAATGATATAATATTTATATCTATAATCTTTAGAGATTATCATTTTATACTTTAATTTAATTATATTTTTTTATGTTTAACATTATTATTTTTCTTAAATATAAAATAATTAATAATATTGGAAAGCGTAAAAACTATCCAGCTATTTTTTAAAAAATCTATTAATTTTTGATAATAATTTTTGAAATTAGTAGTACACAGTGGCGCCACTGGCCCCTATCTTTTTTTGATTTGTGGGGTTGCTCAAAATAAAAGGTTTTGCTCAATTAGAAATGCTCTGATCTTTCTTCTAGCGACTTCAGTGGAAATAGTTATACAAGCAATTAAGAATAAAATCTTTCCGGAAATATATGAATTATCCTAACTTTTTTTTTGCTAACCATTAAACTTACGTGTTTCATGCTTAATTATCTCAATAATCCCCTTTCCTCCCAGCTAACCTTATAAAATTATTTGAGTGTTGAAAGACAGGTCCATACATATGTTTTAAAGATAAATTTATATTTTTAACAAAAAATATTAAAAATTTGCATTATTTAATATTTCTTTTTTTACAATTTATTAAGCCAAACTCTTATGGCCTTTGGTTTATTTACTGCCTAAAAAAACTACCAATCACAATATAGTTTTCAAATAATCACCGTATGTGTAACGAAGGGGGTGGAGGCATGGAAATCCCCCTGCCCTTTTTAAAATGTGTCTTTACACAAAATATATACAATATACTACTATAAAAAATAATTTAAAAGAAAAATAAATAAAAGTTGATAATTTTTTTAAATAAAAATGGTAACCCTAAATTATTTTAAAAAATGTAGCATGGCCAAAGGTGTACAATAAGTGGATCTTAAGATCTGCAATAAAATTTATGGAGAAAAATTCCACCAAATAGTTTCACCCCCCCTCCCCCCACCCATCAAAAGCCACCCATGATTTAATCTTTTTTAAAAATTTTCATTGAATTTACCAAGATTTATAAGAATCCTAATTTTAAATTACAAAATAAGTATGCAACTTCGTCGTTCATGATAGATGCCTGAAAACTGTCGTTTCGCCATGTTCAACTATAGCTACTAGTCTCATAAAAGTAATTCCTATCTATTTTTATTCAAAATCAAACAGTTTAAGTAAATTATCACAAGAAAAATATGGAATTTTACTGTTTTACTAAAGAGTAAAGGGCACTATTCAAATATTTATATAAGTTTTAAAAAATAATTGTTTTGTTATATTCCGACTTTTATAATCAAATCAAACTTTGAAATGTACAATAACATGATAAAATAATTTTATTATATTTAATATTGTAAGATTTCGTTTAAAATTACTTTTTTTATTTATCATTATCGATTTTTTTTCGGACTTTTGTTTACACAAAAAAGAATTTAACAAATTACTAATATTATTTAAAAAAATAATAAGTTAAATGGCTTTTAATTTTTATCTAATAATAATGTTTGATTCCCATTATCTTATCTTTGAGATTGAGATGTTCAATTGATAATAAAATCAAATTTATTTAGTTTATAAGAACATTTAAATAGGAATTGCATATTATTAAATTACTAAAATTTGAAGATATAACGATAAGTTTATCAAAAGACCTGGCCCAGGACTTTCATTTTTTAATGAAATTTTTGGCCCACAACATATATAGACCCATCACAAACGTTGTAATAAGAAGAAGAAAATTTCCAAGCCCGACCCATCCCTAAAAATATGCACTCATTATCAAATAAATTTAATTTATTGATATTGCGAATATATAGAAACCAGCAGTCCTGGACCAAGGTCCGCAAAATGAAAGAAAATAATAAACATGGACGGTGACTAGAAATTTTATTTTACAAAATCTGTGGGTGAGCTCATTTCTTCAAAAAAAATTAAATTATATATTTGGAAAATTATATAATGCGTTTCATTTTATACATATTTTAATTTTTTTTCAAAAAATTTACAAAATATAATGCCGCAATTATTCGACTAAATTTTAAAAATTCTGGACAGGGCCATTTAATAAATCAAAAATAAAAATATGCTTCGGGCCACAAAATTTACATAAAAATAGCTAAAGTTAAAATCGAAAATAAAATTTGTTCCACGTCTCAAATTTAATCTAAATTAAATTTAATGTCTTGTTCGATTCGATCAAAAAATGTGTTCCCGATTAGGGCCCTGCAAGTCGGGTCAGACTCGGGCCTAAATTATATTTAAAGCTGGGCCTAATAAAAGTTTAAAAATCGGGTCCTGCTCAGGGGTTTAAAAAATAAATAAATTAGCTATAATTTTTCTCTCTCTCTTCATTTAAGATAATGGGAACTTTCGGGGATTTAGGACAAGACAATATAAATCTTTATTTTTTTCTCAAAAGCTGGCCTGATTCGGAATAATTAAATTAAGATTCACAATTGAGACTTCTAAAACTGGCTAATCAAAAGTGGTAAGCTTTTGGTCGTCAACGTGGGGCCTCGAACTCTTAAATATACACCCACCAAACCTGAATCATATTCTTTTGTGACCAATCCGTCTTTAAATAAATCGGGTTCATTTGTCATGGAGCTAAACTGACCCCGAGAAATTTCCATTTCTAGAGTTCAAAGCCTTGAGTTAACGTATTATAAAATGATTTTCATTTTTTATGGGAATTGAACGGGTAGCAAGTTATAGTTAGTGGTCAAGATAAGAAATAGGTCACTTTTGGAGTTTTTGCAATGGTAATAATAGAAAATATAACCAATATTTTATAATAGTACAAATATAAATTACGACCAAAAAAATAGATATAATAAAGAATATGATGAATTGACGTCATTCGTGACCCTTTATTGCGCTATTTTTAGTATCATTTTTCATTTATGTTTTTAACTTATAAATTACGAAAACTGGCTTAAATTTAAAAAAAATATATAATTATTTTTATATACTGTTGAAGTGTCTAATTTGAACCCCCTTATAATTTAAACAACTCCTTAATTTGAACAACTTTTCTTAAAATTGGCTCCTATCTTATTATTCCACTTGAGCAGAAGCGTTTAACGTTGTGTTGTTCTAACGCTTTGTTTAAATCGAAAAGCTATATTTTTAAATGTTAAGAACACTAAGTAGTTCAAAAAAACACAATTTGCACATTACCATTTAGAATACATTATTTGAAATAAAACAAACCTAAATCCTCCAATTTGTAGGCATTATTATTTGAAAAAAAATTCTCACGGCAAGGAAATAACCAAATTAGACTAGTTATATATTATTATTGATCCTTTTTTTAAAAGAAAAATTACATTTTTATTAAACATTTTATAAATATTTTGTGGTTTTTAATTGAAATTTTAATCGATTCGATTTTAAATGGTTTGACGTATGATCACTTTTCAATCCTTTTTCTCAATAAGATTGTTAGAGAATTTTAGTTAATGTAAATGAACTTTTCTTGTATTTTCCTATATGCTTTTTTTATTATAATATATATTTTTTGGTTTCTTTTTCATAGAAAATTATTAAGCTTGTTAATTATATTCGTTTTATACATACAAGGTAAGTGATGTGCTTTCTTTTTTCGAATAACTGCAGTTACATTAATTTGATTGCTCTTTTTTTATGCGCTGATTGCGGAATAATTTATTTATTATTTTAAAAAAATCAGTATTTAGATGACATTTGGATTAAAAAGTTATTAAAACGTTTTTAAAAAAACTTAAAATATGAGTGACTAGCTTTGAACCACAACCAGCTGTCATATAACCATATTGAAAAATAATTTTAATTTGGTATAAAAAATTATAATCTTAAACCTTCCCCATTGTATTTTGGTCAAATCAAAATAGGTCAGATCAATTTTAATCTGCTTGATTTCACTGAAGGAAAACTCCGCATGTATCACTGTGCCCAGGGCTGCCTCTTTTACTTTTCATTAGCTTTAATGTAATCTATTTTTAATTTAATTGACCTATTCATCGAGGCGGATGTCATTGTACCTAACCAACTTGGATGTTAAAAAAAATATTGATTATTTGTTTATATTATGAGATTTTTTCAGATATGTCATGGTTTATTTAGCCCAAAAACTTAATATTTTTATATATAATATTTTTGAATATTATCAAAGAATCCAGTTGCTCATTGTTGGTCCGAGCCGGGTCATTTTAAACGCAAATTTTGTAACGTTTGTCGCAAAAGATTAGATGATTCTTGGGCCATCAGATGCGAAAGTATGATTTATTTATTTTTTAAATTCTACCATACATTACACATGATCAATTATTTGCGATTCACTAATTCTTTCATATTTTCTAAATAATATACTACATTTGAGCAAAATTTGGTTGTAATGATGCTTAGGTCAAGACAAGTTGCACTGTATATTTAATTATTATTGTTATTACCCGGAGAACTTCAGGGCATTCATAGTCAAATCGATGCTATCACCAGAGACATAAAATTAAAAAAATAAACCTAAAAATATTTTTATAAACAAAATTGAGCCAGAAATTCGGGCTGGGAATTTTGTTTTTATAAAAAACTGGACTGAGTTTGAAATTTTTCAAATTCGGGCCTAACATTTTGACCTCTGCCGATCTCTGTTAATTTCTATATAAAATCTTTAGTTGATTTTAAAATAGAGATAAACAACTATTTTCAAATATTATAAAATGTGAACGTAAAACGTTAATAAACCTATCTAATTCGAGCTAAAGCTGGAAGTTGATTTATTGAAAATATGATTCTCATTATGATAATTAAGAAGAATTCATGCCGGGCATACATAATCTAAGAAAATTTAAAAAAAAAGATGTATTCAGCTTTAAGGGCTCACAATTAAAACAGGTTTTTTAAAACAAACTAAAATGTATAAACTAGTATCTTATATTATCATTCATTTCTTCAACACATCATCAATATAAGTACTAGATAAAAATCGATATACATATCCCCAACACATTTTTGGAGAATTTATTCTTTTTCTTAAAAAAAAAATATGTGAAAATTGGAATTTTTTTTATCTCTTTGGTAATACGCCAAAACATTTTAAATTTTATTGGGTATCCCTATATAAGTATAGAATATAATATAATAATATTGTTTTCGATTTTCTTTATTATTTTTTCATTTATCTAAAATAAAGAAGAAAGAGTAAATTTTTTTAATCTTTTAAACCCCATAGATAGATAAATGCTAAAAGCTTCTATATTTATTATCAAATTTTTTTATTCTTCTCTCATTTTTATATATATTTTTTTAATTTTGTTATAATTTTATAATACCCTACACTGAATAATATATTTTTTTATTATTATAATTTACTGACTTTAAAATAAAATGATTGTAAATATATTTTTTTAAACGAATTCGGGATTTGATTTGTTTTTAAATTTTAGGGGTTTTTTTAAAAAAATATATATAAATAGAGACAAAAAGAGAATCGGTTAATTTATATTGATTTTTTTTTTGGGGGGGGGGGATTTCTCTTTATCATTCATGTAATAATTATGATTAGGGTTAGTTACTTCCGTTGGGGAGGAGTAAAATGATATTCAGCATCTGCATTCCGCCATGCCTTTGAATTTTTAATGGTCAAATATCATTGGCAGATTTAACCCTCGATACATAAGGAGGAATAAAGTTGTCCTGATGGATAAGTTTGAGATTTATTTCTCCTAACTTAATTGCTTTTTGAAAGCTTAAAAGTTATTTTTTATTCATAATATTTACTATTCAAGACATTAATCTACTTTTAAAATGATAACGGGGTATTTTTATCCATCCCGATTTTAAAAATTCAAATAATATTTATGCCTCTATTTTTATTAATAGCAAATTACTATAACAAATAAAAATATTGATAAATCGACAAATGTTCCGAATTCAGTGCTTTTAAACAAACCCGATTAAATGAGCATTATGTTAACCGAACTTATTTCTAGATTCCCTTTGAAGCCCATGGTTCGGTTTCATTGTAATTGTTTTATATATTATGATGGCTTTTATGATCACTTTCCTATATTATATATCCATGAGGTTTAAAATTTTAATTGATATATATAAACTGATTGGAATTTTAAGAAATTTGAATAGCATTTCTTATTCCAAAGCAAACCTACACCCCCTTTGCATATCTTACCTTGAGCCGAACTGGGATCTGGGTTAAAAACTTTTTCAGAACTCCGGATTTTTTTTTGCGTTCGAGTTTGGCCAATTCATTTCATCACTCATAAATATTGTATTATATTGTGGCTTATATTTATCACAAGTTTGCGAATACTATGCTCATTTGGAATGCCAAGACTTTGTTGTTAGCGACTGCAAAGACTGTGCATTATACACTTCCAATGGCTTTGTAATTATAATTTATTATTATTTTTTATTTTAAATTATGTATAAATATTCTATAGTTATTAATATTTATGATGTTAATATGCTTAAATATTTTTCATGGAATGATCCCGTCAAATCAATAACTCTTCAGAAATTTTACATTATAAAAAAAATCTAATTCAAAATTTTCTCCTATAAATTATTTAACAAGAGTCCATCTTTGGACTAATTATTTTCCATAGTGCTGGAATTATAAAGTATAATACTTTTTTTTTATTGTTCTCTGGACTGTGTACCTCATTTAAAGCTATTACTTTATATTTGTTCATTTCCAATTAAGATCATTAGAATATAAATCGTATTGCTCAACCCAATAATGCTTAAAAGAAATGTATAACCGACCCTTTTAATAAAGTATGCCAAGTCTACAGCTTTGACTATAAAAAAAATAGCACCACTATACATTCCTAAATGATAAAATGTGTCTTGGAAGTAAAAAATTTGCGAGTTGCATATAATAAAAACGAAATTAATATTAGAATAAAGAATGTGAGGGTTCTATAAACACTTGAAATTATAATAATAAATACTCAGTTAGGTATATTTAATTCGGAGGTTAATCCAGTCTTGTTACATGGCGATAACATTTGGTCCAGATATTTTATATAAATAACCTATATATTAGCATAAAAAGATTCATTAAAAAAAATCTAAATAATAATAAAAAAAATTCTATCAAAAAATTTCTAAAAATCAAGGCCAATTATATAATTTTTTTTGTTTCTACTTCGTATTCTGTTTGCCCCCTCATTTAAGGAGATTAAGTTTTTTTGCCCATATTATAATCAATAATACCTTATAAACCTTACTAATATTTGTGTATAGTAGGTTGTTAAACATTGGTTTAGGGTAGCAATAGAGATTAGGGTGAGATTAAGGGTAATCTGGCCGTTACAACTTTAATTTAAAATCTGATTCATAATTTTTTAAAATACACATGAATGATTGGTTTATTTCATGATAGTTTCCTCACTACATCTCCCCCTCCTCTCCTTTTAAAATTTATATTCCTAGGCAAATTTTCATATTATAGTTACAATTAAACAATTTGTTAAACCTGATATTTTTTTTAAAAAATGGAATCTTCTTCGACCAAACCAACCTTTTTAATATCTCTAAACTCGAATCTGCCCGACTAAAATTTTTAATAAACAAATTTCTTTTTATGCTTTATTAGGACTTAATATTTTTCTATAATGTTTTATCTATAATTTAAAAAATGACTGAAAAGTTATCAATTTGTGGAATTACCCCATGCCGTTATATTTAATATTATTAATTTTATACCGAATCTAATATATCTAAATTTGATATTCATTATTATTGATTTTGATTGGAACCAACTTGATTTCAAATACAAGACGAGAAATGAGTTAGACTTTAATATACATTAACGTGTTTTTTATATATTAGAAATGCCAAATCCAATATCATCATTGGAGAGAGGGCAACCTGCCATCTAACTCGAAATGCTCTATCTGTAAAAAGACTTGTTGGTCGTCCGAATGTTTATCCGGAATGAGATGCGATTGGTGTGGTATCAATGTAAATTATAATACTTGTTTTAAACTGTATCTTGAATCATTTATAAGCGATATTTAATTTAATAGTATATAATGTTTTTTTAATAATAAAATTTATATGAATATTAGTTGTCCTTCTCCGATTGTACAATTCGGAATTAGCTTTTGAAGTCGGAGCCACATTTTATTACACTTTTATAAATTCCTTATTTTAAATTCGTGTTTTAATTTTTATAAAGGCTCACGCTACATGCTACAAAAAACTTCCGAAAATATGCGACTTCGGATTATTCAAACCCATAATGCTTCCACCTCAATCTATTTCGATACCTAGAGTCGATTTACCTAGAGAAATAATTCTAGGGATAAATTCGAAATTCGTTCCTATAAGTTTAGCGATTTTTGTATTTTGTTTGCCAAAAATAGGATTAATTTAAATGTAAATGAAACGGGATAAATTGATTTATAATTTTATTTTTAAAGAATAAGTTAATTTTGCTTATTGCTTATTGTCTGTTTAAAGTTTCTTTGCAAACATTTTCATTTTATTATATTTAAGATATAGAGGAGATCGGGGTAAAGGGATTGACTGGTTAACAATATTAACGCGAATAACTTCTTAACCCTTGAATATAAAGACTTGAAATTTGGTAAGAAGTTGTATTTTTATATCTAATTTCTTACCTATCTTCATCTCTTGGAAAACTTTCCTTGTTTAACATATTTTGCTAAAAAACATAAAAAATCACCCCCTAGTTTTTAGGAAAATATATTAAGGCTCAAAATTTAAAGTTTTTTATACATGTTCCTTAAAGTTATAGCTATAAAATAAAATTTATCGGAAGTCTATAGTTTAACTAGAAGTCACGCAATAACGATTTTACCTTAGGGTAAAGTTGCTATAAGTAAAACGGTTAAAATTTTCCGTCTGATTTAAGCTGTAAAAAGATAATTTTTAAATGTTAAATCTACACCATATAAAAGATATTTTTGTGTAAAAGGAACATTAGTAAATAGTTTGTTGGGATAAAATTTTATGAATAAAGAATAATTGAATGTACGATGTGCCTAAAATGCACATTCAAAACGTGCTATATTTGTTATAAATTTTTACATTCCGGTATTGTATTAATTAATATATACTAAAAGTATGAATAGCTGTAAAAATTGCAATATTTTGTTCAATTAAACAATATAGTTATATTCAATTTTATTTTAACCACTTTATCCCTATGCCTAGCCATACCCTGGGTATGGGGTAAAATAGCGAAAATGGTATATTTCACATAATTAACACAGCTCCGAAAGTAAGAGCTACACTTTTTTTTATTTTATAGAGGATTTGACTTAAATATATAATATGTTCTGTTTTGTTAATGTTTCAAATTATTATGGTAAAAATGCCAAATACCAATCGTTTTACACCGGTCTCCCCTACACCGTGTAATCAAAATTTTTAGACTCAACTGACAATAAGGTTATCGGGAAAAGGATTTCCAAATCATGTATGAATCCTGTCAATTAATACGCTTTTCAAATTCAATATTATTATTTTGTTAACTTTATATTAAAACTGATAATATATATCAACATTAAAGATCGTCAAATTATCGAAGAACAGTCATCCTCTAGTAGTGAATACAAAACGAGCAAGGAAGAAAATGAATCCAGTAGTACTGGAAAGAAGGACAAAGAGAAAGATGAAGGTATATTATATACTAAGAGTGTTCATAATACCAATAAACAAACTCCGGCAATTTTTAATTTTGTAAATTTTGAAAAAGAACAATAATTTAAAAAATACGCGAACGTTGTATAGTAACCCACAGGCTGGGGAAACGGAACCTAACCATAAAAAGTTTTAAATGCTGCTTAGGATTCCGACGAATAAAATGATTAAATATTGGTTTTAATCATGTTCTCAATAAGATTTTGGTATAAAGGCCTAGGTGTTTTCTCAAAAATTACGACTATTTTTTTTAGATGATTGTTAATCATAAGGAATTTTATTGGGCTGGAATCTTAAATAATTTATTTGCATCCTTGAAAAATAACCTGAATATAGATAATTACATAGCCGTTCGGGTATACGACGGAAATGTTTCTTACAAGCGACAACATAATTACAAGAATATCATAGTTCATAAAGGGGAAAGTGTGGAAGAGATCATAGCCTCTTCCTTGCGTACATTCCACGTTTCCGATAATCCCAAAAATTATTACGCCTCGCTCATTACTAATCAGTCTTCTTGCTCCTTAGTTAAAAACGGTTTAAAATTATAATAAAATATATTATATTTTTACTCGATCGATATTTTTAAGTCATTTTGTAGAAATTTTTATTAAATAAACATGCGAATATTTTTTTTAAATTGTCAGTGTACAAATAAAATAAAAAGGAAAAGAATTATGAAACATTATAAATAGTGTTTAAAAAAATAAAATGTAGTACAATATCATTAAAAGAGTTTTAATTAGGGATGGAAAAAGACCAAAACGAAAAAAAATATTTTAAAAACCACAGAAAAAATTGGAAAAAGTAGTGAAAAAAAACAATAGCGTGGGAACAATGGAATTTTTTTAAAAATATTATAAAATAAGGGTTGGGTGAGAATGTTCAATAAATCTTGGAAATTATTTTTAAAAATTAGCGATTATTTTTATAACTAAATAACAAATATACCTGTTAATTTAATTCTTAATTTTTTTCTCTTTGAATTAAAATATGCCGCGAAACAAATCATCATGTGTACGACAACTTTTTATTACTGGAGAAAAGGCGAAATACTGAAAATCATTGTTCGAAAGATTTCTTCTTCAAATAGCAGCAGATAAAATAATATAAACTGTAAGAATGATAAAGCCTGAGCAGAAACTGTGATATTTTACTTCTATCATGATCCTGCCCCCACCTCCTACAATCTTATTCACAAAATTTAATAAAACCAACTTATATTTCAATGCTAAATTTATTGTATTTTAAAATTTCATTTAGACGATTGTAAAAATATAAAATTTGCAAAAATATTAATATTGTAGTAATATAAAAAAATTGAAGGAAACGAATAAAGCAAATTGTAACAGGGTTTTTTATCCCTAGTTTTAATACCTTGACCATATAAGTTTCGATTTCAAAAATGTTCTTACAAAGACCTCTATAATAGCAAGATATACATTTTAAAAATAAATATTTATTCATATATAAATTGAATCTATTAGACATGTTCAATGACGATATATTAAGAGATCCCGACCATTTTTCCCAACTCAAACTCAATTCCACCCTTTCAAAATACGGTGTTTCACTTTCCGGTTCTAACAACAAACCCAGCATTATTTTGAGATCCCGGTTAAAAGACGAAACCAATGGCTACCTGCCCGTTTATCCTGGCCTGCTAAGGTTATTCCTTTCTACTATGTGCACTTTTGACTTGATTGTTAGAAATATGAATAATGTTTTTGTCGTTTCATTTATTTATTTTAAAACACAAAATGTTAGCTGGCAGGTTTATTGGAATGATTCATGGCATCGCTGAGGATTGCCCAGAAAAATATTTTAGACATACCTAGAGCCCTCCCCTTCCCAATTACGCTGCGGTCTCCATGACTATAATATAAAAAGATTCAATTACAAAATGATTACTCAATACAGTTTCGTGCAGACCAACCCGTGCAGATTTTTTATCGGGCGTGAGCCCAGCCCGTAAAATATATTTTTAACAAGTTGTCTGGCACATCACTTAATAATTTTTTAGTGATATAGATTTGCCTAATTTTCAGCGTGTCCACTATATGTTGACTAAGAGGGTGGGTACTCCCTGAGCACTTTTTCTCCTCCCCTAACTAGCCACTTTTTAAAAAATATAATAATTTAAAATCAGCAAGATTATTTATCTCAGAGATATTAGATAATAACTTCACTTCATACTTAAAATATTAATCCTCAATAATTATAGAAAATTAAGAAAATTTTTATACGAGATTTGCATCTAGATTGGCGTTTAACCATGAGAAAATTTAATTCATTAGTATCAAATTGTTTTTGATGATATTTTTGCTAAAGATGGAGCCAGCAGTTAGTGATCTGCATCGGCCCTAATTTTACAAACCCGGCCCAAAATTTTTTTTTAAAAAGTTTTACCTGTTATTTAAATATAGAAATTAATTTTTATAATTACTCAAAATAAAAGACATGTTATACATCTAGTTTTTTTAAATAAAATCAAATATTTTTATTTTACATAAATAATTTAATATAAAATTTAGAAATATTTAACAAAATTTTCAAGGCCCAACCCGGCCTGAACCCATTTTTTTTTTTAAAAATTAGCGCAGATCTCTACCAGCAGTGTAACTACCTTTTTTAGGGTCTTATTGCAAAATTCTTCTTTGGGCTTAATTATTTTTTCATGTTTGGTCTTATTGCAAAATTCTTCTTTGGGCTTAATTATTTTTTCATGTTTTATTGATTAATGAAATATGACACATTACATAGAAATATAACTTTATATCATCAAATTATATAAAAGTAATTGCACAATTATATAAAGAAGTTGATTTATTATTGACTATTATATCTATAATATAGACCTTGCAAAATCTTGTGTTGTTTCAAATTTTTTATTTCTTTTATAAAGTGTCAAACGCTGATTAAAAAAATCGGATAAACTGTTTAAATCTTAGTTATACCTATTTATTCACAAGATTTTTTGATATATTAGTGTTTCTTAATGCATTGACAATATTTATTATGCTTTTAAATCGATCATTGATTTGGGATTATATCAATATAGATAATATATATTGAATTTTATCTATTTTTCTTAACATAGCAAGATTTCACTTTAACAAAGTTCGTTAAAAATTATTTTATCTGTCCAGCCTTTTTTATTTGAATTACTCCATATTCTTCTAACATTCAACTTCAATTTTAAATTTCAAAATCTTATTTTTTTTTGTATAATTAACTAAAGGCTTTCTTCAATTAATATAATAAGATTGTAGATATTTTGCTATAATAGTGCTTTTTCTAATATATCTTGAAAATTAAGATGAAATTTTTCAGTTTATTCTAATAGCGTTTGCTTTCTCTCTTATTTCTTTTGACTATAATATAATTTGTTATTCATTGGTATATAATTATGTTAAACTGAAAATATCGGTTATCTCTAGATAACCATCTTGTTGGGTATAAATTCATTAATGTTTTAAGTGAATATTTTCATTAAGGTTAACACTTTTCAGCTTAACGAATATATTTATTGAATGGTGTTTTAAAATTTCAGTTTTCTATTTGTAACATCATTTAAACCTATCTTAAGATGTTGGCAACACACTGTATATATACTACATTCTATTTCTTTATTTCATGTTTGCATCTCGGAGTATATTCCGCTCATATCAACATTCATCATATCCTCATTCTATATCAATAATATCCAAATTTAAAAAAGTTTCTAAAATATTCGATGTTTTTGATTCTGTATTCCGTTCAGTAATTTGATATAATCTCAAGAAAAATCCATTGATTTCTCAAATGATTTATTTACTTTATAATTGATAATATTTTGTTAAAAGATACTTTTTAAATGGAAATAGATACAGATACATCGTCTAAAAGTTACAGAAACAGATACATTGCCTAAAAAGTTATATTGATTCAGATACACTTTCCAAAATGTATCTATACAGATACAATTTTTATTGTCTCTTATATAAGCTTTGCATAAATCTAAATTAGGATTTTATTGTAAAAATGCATGAAATGAGCTAAAAAAAAATTAATGACTCGTTATCACATTTATCAAAATATAACTAAAATAATGAAAATTTTGGTCATTTAAGGCGACCTCGTTTATCTTGTAAAGACATTTTCAGCTACATTAAGTCTTTCTACCAGGGCGCTTGAAGAGATTGAGGTGTTATATGTTATGAATGATAATTTTATATCAGGATATTCGTTAAAAATCTCGACATTCATTTTTGGAAAAATTATTTAAAATTTGTGCAAAATTTAAATCATTATTATCAATCATATCTGCTGCTGTTGGGTACTGAAAAAAATCGGATATTAAATTTTTTTTTCACAGGTTATTTGTTTGCAATCAGCTGAAGACCTTGATAATTTATCAACTAATCTTTGTATTAATTGTTTTCATTAATATTGTTTGATTTTTTCTCTTAGAATTTAAAATTACAACTGTTGAAATTTTCGTATTTTTTTGGTAGATATCGCAAACATTTTACTATCAGAGTTTTGTTTTCTTTATTTTGAGATTATTTTAAAATATGCTCTATAAATTGGTCGTGGAAAAACAATGCCTGAATTTGTTGATGCTTCATTGATTATTACTTCTTCCTCTTCATCACTATTAATATAAATCTAAAATAAAATTTTAAAATTAGTATAATAAAATAAAATTAACCAATTCCATTGAAAATAAAAATGGCAGATTCTTTGAGTTGCATTGTAATATCAAAATTTGTCTGGGTTATTTATAAACTCGGACATAATATTTAATGAATATATATTATATATTTTTGTAATATATATATTTAAATTATATTCTCATATGAAATAAAATAAATTTTGCGTTCAAATATTTTTATTTATAATATAAAAAAGCGTTAAATAAAAGTTTATCAAAATGTATCTTAAAAGTATCTAAGAAGAGATACAGATACCTCTAAAATAGTATCTAGATACAGATAATTTAATCAAAAATTTATCTAAATACTTTAACAACTCTTTTGTATTATCCTGATTTTTATCTAATATAATTGTATTGCATGAAAAAGATTATCTAACTAACAATTATTATCTTTTTATTAATAAAATTGGAAATTCTGAAAATAAGTTTATTTTGTATTTTTGAGCTTAAATATTTTTTTTTGTTTAAAATATTCTGAAGAATTTGATAATAATTACTTAATAGGAAATATAATAGCGATTCATTGTGTTTTTGGAAAGTAGAATCAGCATGATATTGTTATAATCACAACTATAATCCAATATAGTATATTTTTCCATTTATTTAGGGATTATCCTTAGTTTATTCATTGTAGTGTTGATTGGTTTACAATTTTCCACCTATCATATGTCAAACAGAATTGAAGATGGGTGTGGGTAATATCATTTTCAAAATTTTTTATTTGCATTTTTTCTTTTGAAGTTCTATAATATTCAAAACCCTCCCTCGCCGCGGGGTATGCTGTCCTTATGTTACGCCACTATTTATAAATGTTTTTAAGTAGGTTAAGTGAGTTTCTAATTTTATCTCAAAATTAGACATTCACAGTTTGATCATTTTATGAATAACTTCAAATATGAACAAGAAAAAAATACATTTGTTGATTAGAATTGACCTACGGGAGCCAAAAAACATTCCAGTGTCGTGCAATACGACCGTTTATCAAATCATCCAAGAAGCTCTCCCTACATTTGGGCTGCAAGGAGAAAATTCAAGAGATTATCGCCTCGTCGAAATGATTTTAGAAAAGGAAGGTAATTACATTTGTTAAATCTTCGAATTTTGTGAGATCGTATATCTATTTGATTGAAGGAAAGGACAACGATGCTCAGTTGTGAGATTTATTTCTAGAATCCTACATCTCGACTGGGAAAAATCTTGTTAAAAATTAATCCGTTCCTAAAATCCAAATTTTAAAATTTGATTCAGGTTGAGAGATAATGGAGAGACTAAGTTTAATCCTATTTAGATCAGAGCTAATATTTTTACAAGAGTGGAAAATTTTATTACCAATTTTTATATTATTAGTCGTTCAGAGGGTCATGTCCGACGACGAAAAACCTTGGAACATAATGCAGAACATTTCAAAAGTATATTTTTTATCTTTTTTTAAACCAAAAATAATTATTCATTGGAACAGAACAGAGTGTGGAAATAAAAAATCGTTGATTTAAATCAAATTTTTTTTATATTTAAACTAAACATTCATCACTTACAGACCTCTTGATATTTTACTACTAATACCTTTTTGATTTCGAAACTTGTTTAATAGTTTAATAAGTGAAAATTTATTGGCTCTTCCTTAAAAATTATTTTAACCCACTAACTCGATTGGTGAACTAATCTTGAACTCAAAGTGTAAACTTGAGTCTTTATCACAAAATGAAATATGTAATATGGGATATGTCTATTTGACTATGCAATTCAGATTTTTTTAATTTTCAACTAAATATAATTATCCAAATTCTTCACCTACAAAAGTCACTTGATACTTTACTATAAAAACTTGAAAAATATTATTTAGACATATTTTCGAAGTTTAATAATTGAAAACTATTTGATGGCCTTTCCTATGCTTAAACAATATTATAATATTTCAATTTATTTGACCTTATATTTTAACACTAACAATACTCAAATATATAACTACTATTTCTTTTTAAATTTAAATTTTTACAATAACACATTAAATGTTTACCAATTATCATTAAAATATTTAAATGAAAAAATTTTTCCCCTTTTTCTAGTTCAAGCATGTTTTAAAATTTAGAGTAGACTGGGCCTAAGGAGGAAAACATTTTTTCTAAAGAAGCTGAAGAATTAGCCACACCAAATAATTGATTGATTGGATTATTACCAACAAATTCTATTTTAGGATCCCTGCCACTTGATGATGCATTATTTAAATGGAAGGCGAAAACATTATTTTACTAAACTTTTCTAATTTTGATTGGTATTTAATAATTAATAACAGATGTGCCCGTCATTATTCGACTAAATCTGATATGTTTAATGATTTCTTTGCAATACATCCAAGGATTTCCTGATTGAAATTAGTATCTTTAAAAATCCTTTGAGGCCGATATTTCATAACTCTTCACTAAATTATTTTGTCAATATTTTTTTCGTTTTCTTTACAAATGTTATATAGTAATAGCCATGACTTAAATATGCTTGGAAACTATTTGTTAATGTATTTTGTCTACTCACTAGGTTCTTTTACAGTAGCAAACTGATTATTTTAAAATATAATATTTGTTTCTTCACACTTTTTACCTCTAAAATACATCTGTGATTTAAAATATTTCCAAAATTAGTATGCTATTATTATTCCTCGTTCAAATTTTGTGCATTATTCATAACTATCTTGTAATCATGCAACAAAAATTATTGTATTTTATAATGAGACCAGTCTTTTCAAATTGTTAAATTTAGTTTTCCTATATTTATTAAATGTTTAAAGTTTATTTTATCATGTGTGTTAAATAAAAATAGGAAGGCATTCCCTCTTTAATATGAATAAGATATCATATAAATAAGATGATATAAAATTTTTTATTCAATCCCCAGTTTAAAGCTTTGGTTATATAAAATACAACCTTTAAAAAATCATATTTAAATCAAATAAATTCGATTTTTTACTTTTGAAATAAATCAATGATTTAAATACACCATGAGTGGATCCTTAAGTTGAAAACATAAATATTTTAAACAGAATTTTTAATTTTGGCAGAAATTCATTTTATTGTTATTTTTTAAATTATAATTTTGAATATAATAATTATCTCATTTTCATGGTGATTTTTTTGTGAAGGAATCACTTTATAAGATGAGAATGACGCGATTTTATCTCCAAGAAAAAGAAGACCCTCACGGTAAAACGATATCCTTATTTATTGGAAATCTACCACCCAGTTTGTCGCAAAGGCAATACGAAACCATACTAGCAAATCTTTTGGAAAAATGTAAATGTCAAAAAATAATATAAGAATTTCTTTAATAAATCAGTTCTTTGTCGATAGCTCTTATAATTATTTAAGCTAACTCAAAGAAATGTTTCACGCTCACATAGGGAATAATAGACATGACAAAAACTTAATGACACCTGAAAGTGTTATTTTTGTGGTAATTGTAGGCCAAGGTAATAAATGAGTGATCTTTTACAAATGAACCTTTAATATTAGACTGGTTGAAAACATGCATTACTAAAAAAAATATGATATTGGTACAACAAAATAAAAAATTGTACCCAAAACTACTTTTTTGCTAAAATAAATATCTGGAAATTATCATATCCCAACGATATATAAATATGGAAAATAATCATTCGCCACTTTCCTTTTCTTATTGTTTTTTACAGAAGTATTTGACTTCTTTTTTAGAATTTATCACGATTTATCGATTTTTTTTTACAATTCAAAAGCGCTTAAATACAACAATATCGGGCCATTTTACTACGAATACGGTTGCCTTGTAATAACTTACGATTCCCCCGATATATCCGTCAAGGCATTTAAAACACTTAAATCCGCCACTTATGACGATAAAAGCTTGATCGTTTTACTCCTACCTAATATTCACGTTTATTTGAATTTAGACAATTTACCAATTTTTTTAAACAATATTATTGCTAGATCATCCAAAATACATAAAAATTTAATATCGACAATAACATTTAAATCTACAACAATTTAGCCATCAAATATCCCTTCAAACGTGGCCCCACTACTCGTATTTGTCAACGTTAAAAGCGGAGGATGCCAAGGGCTAGGACTCATATCTTCCTTTCGTAAACTTTTAAATCCTCACCAAGTTTTTGACTTGGAAAATGACGGACCTCTACCTGGGTTTTTATATTATTGTTTTTACCTTGATAATTGGTCTGATAAAGATTAGAGCCCTGCATTAAATTTATGTTTTCTAGTCCGATCCGATCTTTAAAAAAAAAATTTTCGCCCACCCAACAAATCGAGAATATTTTTTTTTAAGATATGAGTCCACGAAATTTTATTTTAGAATAGGCCACATCCGATTTTTTTTATAGGCTGTATATGCTGTGGTGTTTACTGCGATTAGAAAAATTTTAAAATAATTTTGCGTAAATTGAAAAGGTAATAAATGGATTATTGCTTAAATCTAATTTTAGCCATTTCTTTTTTTGGGTAGTAAAATAAGAATAAAAAAAAATGAAATGAGAAGGGAAGGGAAAACACTACTAATGACATTTATAAATTTTACATAATATTTTATTCAAAACACATCAACATACAAAATCTTCGTGGCTCAAGCCTATACGTTTTCCGTAACGTGGCCCGTTACAAGATATTGATATGCGGAGGTGACGGCACGGTTGGTTGGGTCCTTTCCTGCTTGGATAACGTGGGCCAGGACTCTAAATGCGAAAATCCGCCTTGCGCGGTTATACCTCTGGGCACTGGTATATTTGCTCATCATTTTCAATCAAATTGCATTTTATTTCGATGATGTGGAAATATAGTATATATTTAATATCCCCTTTATTATCCATACAGACTTGATTAATTAGGCGCTTTTGATTACTAGTTATTTTTCAAAAATATTTTTTCTCTTTTAACTAGTTTTTTTGATTTAATATATTATATTATTTTAACTTTTATATAAAATAAACCATTACTTAAGAATAATTAATTTATGTATTATTCTAATATTAGGTAATGATTTAGCCAGAGTTTTAAATTGGGGCCCTGGTTATACGGGAGGTGAGGATGCTCATAGTCTGTTAAGAGATGTCATAGAGGCCGAGGAAGTCAGATTAGATAGGTTACATAATTATTTTTTTAAAATAACAAAACTAAAATTTTATTTATTTATTTTATTATTTTTTCTACAATGCTAATATGGTGTAAAAATTTAAAAAGATAGCGATACAAAATTACTTTATTTTAAATTTATTTATTATAAAATATAACTAACTGACTATTAACCTAATAAATTCTATATATATACTTTTCAAAAGTAAATAACAATCAATGTAACTATTAGATTAATATTATGTTAAGTGAAAGAAATAATGTAACAAGTCCGTTGGTTAATATAATTTAAAATAAATTTCGAATGTATTAACATTCCCCCTTCTGTTCTTTCTTCAATCTTTCTGTGTTTCTCGCAGTCGTCGTGGAACTCGCTTCCAATCCTTTGTTGTTTTTGTACGTTCTCCTATCTCTTCTATCCTCGATCCCGTTCTGTTTAAATCGTTATCATTAATTCGTCGTTTAGTATGGAATAATTTGGCAAATAAGAATAATGGAATTATAATATAGAATGTATTAGTAGAATATTGAATTGAATAATTATTGAATAAGAATGATAAAATTGGAATAATAGAATAATTGATATGTGATTCTCATTTTAGTTTAGCGTTTATGTTTATATTTTTTTTACATTTTGCGTTTTAGTTTGGCGTTTAAATTTATTTTTATATTTTGCGTTTATATAACTTTCATTTATGTATATCGATTTTTATTTATATATATATTAATATTTTCAATCCATAAGGTTAAAATATGCAAATAAATATTATGCACATTTCCCTCTCTTTAAAAAAAATTTTGAATTTAAGACCCATGTTTTTTAATTTAAAAAGTGTTTTAATTTAAAAAGTGTTTTAAAATAATAATTCTTTATAAGATTGCTTTTAGTAAAAAATAATTTCTTAAGCCTCAAATATTTAGAAAATGATCTCCTCGTCACATATTTAAATATTTTTCTAAAATGAAGACGTTTAGTTTTTACATAACTTCTCTTTATGATATTTTTATTTGTCTTCTAAGTTTTAAGTTTCAAATTTTTTTTTATCACATTTAGTATTACTTATAAGAGTTTTTTTAATTTTATAATTTTCTTTAATATTTGAATCGTTAACTATTTTAATCACAAATATTTCTTTAAATTCAATCATATGATTTATGTCTTTTAATTTATAAGACTTTATACAGTCATCATATCAACATTGTAAAGAAATTACATTAAAATTTTTAGTTACAATTTTTAAATTTTTATATATTTTAGTACGAAATATGTCCGTTATATTTTTAATTTCACAAAAAATTTCCCTGTTAAGCCTCTATTAACGTCTTTCCAATTTTGATAAGAGTCTGAATCATAATCAGACTCAAATAAATGTGGTATTATGTTTAAATCGACTAACTTATTTGTCTCAGTAATTTTATTGCAAGATTTATTTTGAGTTTTGTTTTGATAATTATTGTAACTATAAGTTTTAGATCGTAAATTATTATATTTTTGATTTCACTTTGGATAATACATTTCTATTTTGATCTTTAAGTTATTTTATTATTTTTATATTATTGTATAACACATTTTTTTTTATCTCTAACTCATCTTTTGGTTATAACTTCATCAAAAGTAATGTTAGTATCTATGTCTTCTGCCTCACATACAGTTTTTATCATCTCATTAATTTTATCTAAATCTTGTATTTTATAAATTTTTCGTCCTTAGATTAACTTGCTTTATAGAATTCTAGGACTTTACTATTTTTGGATATAAATTTTTTTTTTTTATTCAGCCTCTGAACTTTATAGATTTATCATTGTTTTAATATTAAATTTATCATTTATCGGTTCGTTTATACACTTTATTTATTTTTATAATATATGAATTTCTCTTTGCTTAAAATAACAGTGTCCTTTTTATTATATATATGTATATATATTATTTTTTTAAACGAGTTCATCGACCATGTACTTTGAACTATTTTTATTATAGTCTTTAAAGGTTAAGAAGATGTTTATTTCGTTAAATTTTATTTTTTTATTTACCTGTTTTAAGTATTTTTTTTTAACAATGACCTATGACGATTAAAAAAAGATATCCCGATGGCCATGACATTGCCTTAAATATTAACTAACTTGATAAATCAAATAAATAATTGACTAAAAGAATGATAATAAGAATATCATAAAAATATAAATATATGTTTTTACCTTTTTTTTATTTGAGAAGCCAGCATGTTCAATATATATTTTTTTTAGATAGGATTTGCAGACTGATTTATTGGATTTTATAGTTTTTTTAAATTTAGATTTAATATTTTACATCTTTCTTATAATTTATTATTTGGTTCCTAACTATAAGTAGTGTCGGATCCCACCATTGCCACCATGCTAATATGATGTAAAAATTAAAAAAAGATATCGATACAAAATTACTTTATTTTAAATTTATTTATTATAAAATATAACTAACTAACTATTAACCTAATAAATTCTATATATATGAAAGAAAAAATATAACAAGTCCGTAGGTTAATATAATTTAAAATAAATTTCGAATGTATTAACAAACAACAATATCGCTATTTTTAGTGTTGCATAAAAACGCGTTCCTTAAAAATATTCGTTTAAAAAGTAAGCGCGTACCTTTTAATTTAAAAGTGATCGTATTCATTATTTTGACGTGTGAGTTCGCTTTTTACGTTCATTCAAATAAAAAAAATTAAAATTTTAAATATTATTTCTGAATTTAAAATAATCTTTATGTTAATATGAAATAATTATATTTTTATAAAATTAATATATTTTAATAAGTAAAGATGTTATTTTAATTAAAAAATTTTTTTTTAAATTTCCTTTTTTTTCAGCACACTTTTCTTTCTGGCTAATGTCTATTTTACTCCAATATAATCTATATTTGATTTTTTAGTTTATAAATTATTTTATAGTTTGATATATCTAATAGTTCGGACTCAGGTATTTTTGCAATAAGTATTTCGATTTTAATTCCTTAAAACATACATAAAAAATTGCACAAAAATATTGTAATAGTTGGAGCCATTTCATTTTGAAATTGAGGATAACATGCATTTGGACTATTTTTATTAGTTAACCACTTGTAGATGCATTAATAAGTTGAGTAATAGCGAATTCGACTCTATCTTCAGGCGCTTGCCGGAGAAAAGGCTTTTTAAATTATATTGGTTTCTTCCAAATTTGAATTACTATCTTTTTAAGAAAAACCCCACCAAAAACTTGGTTTAGCCGATTTTTTAGCCAGCTAAAAAATGACTAAAAATATAGTTAACCAACTAATAGATAAGATTGATAAAAGTTAAATTATCATACCAAATCATTTATGCTTATATTTTACTTTTTAAATTTAAGCATATGAAGATCAGTATATTATTTATTCCATACATCCGGTATTTAAACTCAAATGACTTTAGATAAGGCTTTTATAGAATGAATGATTAAATAAACTAGCATCATATTTAATGAAACCTGTAGAAATTCTTTGAAACTAATAAAATTATGAATTATTTTAAGAAATAAAACCTTTTTTATACAATAACACTCAGGATCGATGGAAAGCGTTTTTAGCATATAAATTCAGCTTTAATAACTACGAAACGTTTGCTTATCGGATAATTTCAAAATCAATTCTTATTAAAAATTTAATTAACAAATATTATATTTTAAATTTTATTTTGTCTTATATTTTAACACATTATATTCTATTACAAGATAAAATATATTTATTTATCTTAGATATTAAATGTATTTTTTAGTAAAAAATTTTTACATGTGAATGAACGCGTTCCTTTTTCCCCAAATGAATTTTGAACGCGAGCGTATTCAATTTTTGCTAATGAACGAAGAACACGAGCGAATTCTTTTTTTTGAATGTTTAGCACACTACTATTTTTTATTGAATATTTCAAGGATGGACATGTTACGGCAAAAAATATAGCTGACATAATCTGCAGACTACTTAAATAGGTAGTTGCACCTTAGCTAGCTGTTGCTGCACATCCTTGGAAATAATATACATTATTTTAAATATTTATAAAATTCTCTGATAGTAACACTTCTTTTAAAAAAAAATTGAATTTTTAATTTATTTTAAAGATGGACTTTAGTGTTCCACCCCGATGATAAATATACCGATGACTCCAAATATATAAATTGTTTAAACAACACCCAAAACACAGAAGATAATACTCAAATATACATCATGAATAATTATTGCGGCATAGGTCTTGACGCTGACATCTCTTTAGATTTTCACATGGCCAGAACCGAGAATCCTAGCAAATTTAGTAGTCGGTAAAACCTTATATTACTTTTTATTGTCAAATATAAACTATCAGGTGTAGTGTTGTTAAACGGCTCGTTTTGAGCCGATTTTTAAAAACGGCTAACACAATATTTTAGCCAGAAAAATGTTACCTTAAACCTCAAAATTTCGCTAATTGATGTCCAAACCTTTGTTCCTTCTACAAATGAAATCTTCAGGCTTGCTTGATATTATTGTGGATGAAATATTGAATAAGCCGTTTTAAAAAATCGGCTCAAAACGAGCCGTTTAACAACATTAATCAGGTGACTCAAAATTTCAACGCTAAAAGCGAACTTTAGAATTCCGAGAATCATTCTAAATTTTAAAATTTCTAGGATTAGGGCCCATATATATGCATTAGTAAAGGTTTATATTTTTAATACCATTGTTAAAGTAATGTTTTGCTTTAAGCTCTGTAAAACTAGTTTAAAAATTCGCAATAATAAAAAAACTTTCAGAAGTTTTTAAATTTTGATCAAATCGCATGATTTTCTAGGATTAAGTTTAAGACATGTTTTTATTTTTATATTAAAAATAGTTTCACTTTTCTTTTACAAAATAATATATATATTTAAGGCTGCATAATAAAAGTGTTTATCTAAAAATGGGCTTACGGAAAATGATGAAGAAAAAGATTAGTCGGGACTTGCAAAGGGATATTAAATTAGAAGTCGATGGCAAGGAAATCGATATTCCCGCCGTAGAGGGTCTAGTCATTTTGAATATTTTAAGGTTTAGAAAAGTATTAACGTGTTAATTTTTTTTTACTGAATTATAATTTTACGTAGGGGCATTTCCGGTATCACTCTTTGGAGGACGATTCTATATTATTGATATTAAATTGAAATCGACCGATAGATACATACTTAAATTTTTTTAACTCTTTCATCTAGAGTAAACCATCATCTATGAATGATTAATGTCATTTAAAATAATACTAATATCAAATTTTAAATAACCTATACATTTATCATTATTGTAAAGGTATGTAACTATTTATCATTTATTTATATAGTTAAAATCGTAATTTTTTTTTGCTCCAAAAATCTTTCTATCGTATAGAAAGTAAAGAGAATCCCAATATCATTAATATAAATTGTTAAATTATTTAATTAGCTTTCAAATCATAAACATCCTTACAACAAAAAATTATATATTTTATTATTTTTTAACATATTTTTAATTATTTAGTTTTTACAAATATATTTTTTAAATATTAATCAATCAAAAAAATTTTAAATTAAGAGATCATATCCGAAAATCTAATTATAGCGACCTATAACCGATATTTCTAAAAGAGATAAAAATTGGTCCTATCCGATCAGTAAAAAAATATCGATACATCCCAATTCTAAGCAGTCTATTTATTGCGGCTTCGGGAATATTTAATTGAAATACTCATTTAAAAATAATTTTTTTTACTGAGATGTTTCTTAGGGACTGTCAGGGGTGTATACAATTAACCACTACAAAAAAAATAATAAAGAATAAATTATTTAATTTAAATTCAGCATAGGACCAATTTTTGTTTAGATTCTTATTAGTTTTTTCTCTCTTAATCTTTAAGCATTTATATATATAAAATTTATATAAAATGAATAATAGCTGGGGTTCGGGGGCCAATTTGTGGGGAGCCGAACGTGAAGATCAATTTCAAAAACCTACTCATTACGATGGTATGCTTGAAATTGTGGGAGTCAGTGGCGTAGTTCATATGGGTCAAATACAAAGCGGACTCAGGAGCGGAATTCGGATAGCACAAGGAGGACATGTTTATTAAAAAAAATTTATTTCTATTACATTCTTTTTTACTCTGATGTAAGTTTTTTAGGGTGAAGATGACATTGGGAAAATATTGCGTGATGACAATGAGTGTCTCTTTCATTTTAATATTTATTAATTCTAACATTTTAACTTTTCAGGTTCTGCTTATATTTTAAGTATATTCTTTTAATGAATATACTTTTATTTTCCACTTAATGAAATGATTGCGAAACAGTGAGTTATAGTATATTTATCATTTCATGAAATATATTTTGTAATTGTTTTATATTATATACAAAATATTATCTATTTTTCTTGTTTTATTTTCATGCGCAAATAATTAGATAAGAATCACGATTATAAATGAAATACCGATTCAAGTAGACGGAGAACCATGGCTTCAGCAACCTGGTCAATGCGTCGTGTTAAAATCCGCCTTGAAGGTTTATTAATATCTTATTAGTAATATAATTTTCTAATAGAAAAAAATGCCAATCTTCTTATTCATAAAGCTTATTTGGACAAATATTTAAACTGTTTAGACAATTTGAAAATATTTTTGGAACTAATTTTTTTATCTACTTCTAATTTCACTAATATTTAGCAAGGAGCTCGGATTATCGATAACCCGCACAAATTAGAAACTTAAATCTACATATTTTTATTTATTGTTATTACAGGCTTAAATTCTAACTCCATTTCAATCAATTTAATTTGAGTACTATTTTAAATAGCAATATTACTTCAGAAGGACTATTTTATTACAAAAGTAATAGTTAAAATTTTTGAGGAATTTTTTAAATATAAAATGGCGGATTGAGCTATTAGGGATATGAATCTGACCCTAACTATTTAAGCCAAATTAATACTAAATAACCAAGCAACATATCGTTCACACATATTCAAAAGGCTGCCATGCTTCGTAAAGTGAAGCATCACAAATCCTCATACCCAACTATGACTCAACCTCAGCTCGCTATCACCTTCAACAATCCCAAAATGAAACGTTGCAATACGGACCCGCCAGCCACCACGCTTAGCAGCCCCTCATCTCCTCCCCACTTGCTTCGAAATATCGACAATACCAGGGAACTCATACCTTCCGACCAAAATAATGACAATAATGATCAAAACGACGTCATTCCTTATGTTTCTACCGTTTGAAAAACACGCGCTAATTTTACTTTTCTTTATTTAATAGTAAGTTATCAAAAGAACACACGATTTTTACAACCATAATTAAAATATTTGAAAGAATATTTTTGTCAAATAAAACTATGTTAGCCCAACTTTAGATTTAACTTATGAAATGATAGGAGCATTTTAAAAATATTGAAGAATTTTTAAAGTTTTATCTATAACATTACTTCAATTTTATAAATATATATTTTTTAATTTTAAAATAAATATCAGATGCTCCAATTACCAAATATTTGAAAATGATTAGTATATTCACTCTCAAACATTTCCCACAACAATCCAAGATAGGATATTGCTTTTTTTATATTCCCGAGAATATAAAATATTTTACAAATGTTTATTTACTAAATTATTCTCATAATTCCTAAGATATATTAAGGGGCAATAATTGTATCACTTTCTTTAAAATTATATTACCTTATATATCTATCATATATTTTTATGACGAGAAACAGCTTCATATATAATATATTCAATTTTACACAATTTCGGTGCCAATAAAAAAATTTCCTTTATGTAATTCTGACGAAGTGACTAGAATCGACTTCGAAAAAGACAACATAATTATAATAATATAAATTTCACAGTCTTAGTTTACAAAATAACCAAATTAATTTATTTTCAAATCGTTTTTTAAATTGTCATAATTTTAATATTTTTTTTTAAAAAAAATCTATTCGTATAATAATATATATATGGTATTAATATATATAGTTATAAAAAAAAATTTAATTTTTAAAACAAAAAATTATAGAATTTGTTTATAAAATAATTTGACGCCAAATCTATATTTAATTTTTAAAATAATCGCTTATTAAGTTGGGTATTTATTATTTATTTATATTAAAAATATATTGTAATTATAGACAAAAATGACATAATTTACTCTTTACGCATTTTGCCCACTTTATTAGCTCCTGATTTTTTTAAAGAATATATTTTAAATGGCGCATAATATACTTTCTTGGATGACTTGTTTTTTTTAAACATTTTTTTAGTCATTTATTTAAATTTAATTATAAATTTTAAATCATGAATTTTATATTATATATTATTACTAAATAGTGAATTTGAATTATAAATATTTAATAACATTTTTTTGATTATGTTGGAAGCTAAAAAAAATTTACATGTAATAAAAATATATATACTTATAATGTACAGTTTAATCTCCGTTTATAATATTTTCCCGCTTTTAGTATTTTAATTTCGAAACCTTATGAGCAAGTGGATTATTCTGTATATGTATTTATTCTTAAACCCCTAATATTTATTATTTAGTGAAAAAGCTTGAAGATGATTGTTTATTTATTTCTATTCATTTACTTTATTATAAAAGTTTTATTTATAATAGATAAACTTGGAAAATGCTCTAAAAAAAATTTCCCCCATATTTCATTTTTATTTTATACAAAAAAAACAAGAAAGGCAAAAGGTGCGTTATGTTGATATTATAAACCAAATAAATGTATAATCTTAACCAATAAAATGAACTATTTTATAAGAAGTTAAGTCAATTCTTTATTATACATTATTCATTTTTTTTAAACTTTGCTTGATTTTTCTTAAGTTAATAGAATTATTGGAGTAAATGAGAGGTACTTTAACGCAATCCTTTTTACTAAACCAATTCATGGGGGATCCATAAAATTTTTCTACATTGTGTTGTGGGTTGTTTAATTTTTCGCATAATTTGCACCAATAGTTAATCTTGGCAGACTCATACTTTTCTTTCCAATTAAAGTATTTAATGTATTCTTCAGGATTACTATCTAACCATAAAATGTGATGAGCCAAATCTTTTACTGTGTGGAAATCGAACACATTAACGAATACTTTCTTATCTTTAAATGGCATTAGTTCATCATAATTAACGCCTCCATAGACTATGGGCAAAATATCTAGACCTAATATTTTATAAAATTTTTCTGTAACATAATCTTTGCATAAAGAATTCTCGAAGGAAAGGTAAAATTTATAATTATTTTGTATCATGTTTAAACATTTGCTATCTTCGGTAATTTTACAGGTATCGTTACCGCACACACCGTAAATATCAACCGTAATGTATTTGTTGAGTTCTTTTGCTATACTCTGTCTGTGACTAGACGGGTGACAATTGCTCACAAACCAAGCTATTTTTCCTCCTGGACTTAAAGCCTTCTGCCTAATACGATGCATGTCATATTTATTTTCATATCTTCCAAGAATGTTTTCATACAAACCTTTTAAGTTTTGCCCCTTATGTTTTGTTTTTACGATTCCCCAGGGTATCGAAATATCAGAATCCGATTTATAAGTCATTGTCCAATTAAAAATGTCTTTCAATAGAATAGGGGGTATATTTAAATGAGTTGGAGGTTCTCTGGACAAAAATATCCACCTCTGTGATAAATCTCTTCCGATTTTAGGATACGCGAAATTCTTAAACGAATTTTTGGGGTTAAATATCAAAGCGTGTGCAAGAGGTACTAAATACAATTTATTGCGTATTAAATAACAATTTCTGATGGGGCATTCTTCAAAATTTTGCTCTCCATAATTTATACCTAATCTTTCAGGTCCTAAATATCTCGTCCAATGCATAATTAATTTCAGTCTTTTGGTATTTCCTAAATCATATTTTATCAGTTGTAATGTTCGCATACATTCTTTTTTATTATAGTCGTGATAATGTTGTAATTTATTGCACATATTATTAAATACCTTCCTATTTTGATTCCAAAATTTTTTATAACTAGAGTTGGAATTCCCGATTATCGATTTTGCTGTGTGTCGAATACTAATAATTTGAGGTATTTTCGCGTATAAAACTTGTCTATTTTGTTTAACCATTTGGGGCATATCCTTGCTGCAACTTTTATTAAGTGAATTCCGACACAGATATTTATTTAATCCCTCTTTCCTGAATACATTATTATAATAATTGGGGATTACATTCATATTTAACTGACCATTTTTGTAAGATGTGAATAGATTTACTAGTAAATAAAGCACTGTAAATATCAAGATTGTATTGTAATTTATATATTTGATCATATCAATCGTCAAAATAATTTACCTGTTTAATAAAATTTGGCTGTGACATGGATGCCGCAAATCTTTTTTTATACAAATAAATATAACCAATTAGCTCATATTTGACAAAATTTTAAAATATTTATTAAAGTGATTTTTAGCATTTTATGGTTGTAAAAGTGTTAAATAAGGATTCGGTATTTTTAATGACTTTTTTTATATGGGATTTATATAAATAAAAATACGGGTTATTATGATTTTAAATAGAATTTATTATTATATATTTAAAATAAAATATACTCTTTATTGCATTTCATAAAAAACGCTTCAAGATATATACAATTCACATCACTAATTTATGACCTTTTATAATTTTATAAAATAGATTACGTAATTATTTAAAATCTTAAGTTGTAAAAAGGAATCCTTTGAACTCTAACGATAAACTTAGAAATTTAATTGATATTTTTCTGTTTTAAGAATATGTTTGATGTTTAGTGATTTATTTTAATCTTGTTTGATTTTTTACGATCATATACGTATAAGCGATATGCTTTAACCCAATAATAATGAGATTTTTTTTATATTCGTTCGAAAATTTCAAGTCGAATTAAAAATTAATTAATTATTTTATTCGTTTTTCAAATAAAGATATCGAGAGAGAAAGTATACAAAAAAACATGACGAAATTTTTGAAGATAGATTTTATGTTTTACTAAGTATATTGTAGGTTATATTTTAGTAGGAAATAATAAAAAGTGAGATAAATTATTATAAACAATTATTTTTTTAACACATGATTGAACTTGATTAATAACATTTGATTAATAAATTACCAAACATTTATTAGTTTATCTAATATCTGAGACTTGCGGGAGCAGCCGTAAAATGGTATAATTTTAACAATCCGGCCTGGGCAAAGCTAATCCTTAGTATATCAACCGAACCCAATATTCCCATTTGCTAAAATTGTTAATAAAATTTAGATTTATTTTTTGAGCGAAATTTTATTAATGTGTCCATAACATAAATAAATTTATCCAAAATGTTTATAAGGAATCTGGTCAAAAATGATGATTTTTAGTCTCACTACTTCCCAAAATGGTTTATTTTTGTTCAAATAACATATTTTTTATTGAAACACTAATATATTTCTATCAGATCCGGCATTCTGCTGTGATATTGAATGATATAGTGAAAATATTACATAAAAATCTTTACTGCAGAATTTTATTTTTAATACGATACGCTATTTTCTAATTGAAATTATTCACTTCTTAAATTTATTTATCTAAAAAACTAGCGATATAAATATTTGTATCTTTTTGTTAGTCACATCTAATGAATATTTTCTTTAGGAGGATAGCGGTTATAGATGTTAACCTCAATTTACCCCTAAGATGAGCTAGATATCATCAATCTTTCAAATTTTTAGACGCTTCTTTAGCCATACATACTGAAAAATAGGCCGAGAATGCAAATTAAAAGTATTTAGTATCCAAAAAAAGTGGCAAAATGACTTACAAAAATATTATTCCTAAAATTCTAAGTATATCTCGATTCGCTGCTCGAGAATGTAATTCTCAAACCTCCTTAATTCTGTTGTTTCCTAGTTCTATTATTCGAATATATAAGCAGTGGATCAAATAAAAGGGAAGAACTATCAACCTGGTGCGAAATAAATGTCATTTGGACACATGTAATAGACATACTCTTGGAATCTAAAAATATATCGAATTAAAAATAAAGCACCTGTACACTCATGCAATAAGACGCATAAAAGATAAACAAAATTTGAAATGAAAATTCAAGTATATACTCCCCATATTGTAAAGATATTTAAATAAGTTTTATGTTAATAATGTTAATGTGAAGTAAAAAGTGCATTATTTCATATAAATATTATATTGGACCTGGTTGGTAAGTTATGTTAATTTTTTATCTGGTAAGATAAAAGTTAAGAAAATAACAATTAGTTGAAAAATGTTGAAAATTTAATAGACTCCGGTTAACATTAATTACTGCTTATATTTTCAATTTACAAAATAACCAAAATGGTTTAAACTAATAAACTAATAAAATTTTAAAAATCAGGATTTAGAAATCCAGCTTGGGTTAAAAATAGAAAAACTGGGCTGAGCTTGAAAAGAAATTAAATATCTCTCAGGCTTTCAATTTTTTAAAAATTCGGTTCGGGTTTAAAATTTTAACATTTCCTGGCTCTTTCTAATATAGTAGATATTTTTATATATTAATGTCTCATATTCGTCTTGTTCTGATTTAAATTTCTTTTAATTTGATGTAGTGTTGGCAATAGGGCTGATAACAATATCATTACTTTCAGTTTTCCATACCAATATAAAAATGTAACAGATATTGTATTGGTGTTTAAAATTAATACCCCTCAGTACCAACAACATTAGCAGATAAATCAATTCACTAGTCATGAATATCTTATATTTTTAGATTTAACATTGAAAATGTGTCTTTGTATGTCTAATCTGGCCTAATGGGCAGATCAGACGGGGCAATGGCCATGTGTTACCATAACTAATTTTGGCTATCTTCATATTTTGTGATTGCATTTAAAAGTAAATTTTAATTTAAATAAGATAAATAATAAGTATAAAATAAATTATGCTTAATATTACCTAATCAGTTATTTAAGCTAATTATTTATATTATACTATAATATATTTTGCCTAATCCTAATTCTAAGCTATTTACTTGCCAATATTATTTTAAAAGGATAGCTAGCTGGTTATTTTGTTATTTTTTTAGTGCTTAGGTAAATTGAGTGTTTTAAAGGGCCGTAAAATTTATTTTCGTCCTGGGCCGTCAAAAGTCTTAGCACAGCCCTTGTGCACCAAGTTATAAATTTTGTTATAAACTTCCCGTAAATTATATTAATACAAAAATTATGTAAATGCATTCGTATACAATAGTTATTTATGATATCATAATTGAAGTCAAAAAGATAGATTATCAAAGCTTAAATAATGCTGACTCTGGTAATTTATCTAGTCACCAATGATAATCATTCAACTTACACTCTTTTTTAACTGATTTTTATTCTTCTATATGTTATATGGATATTATACTCCAATAAAGAAAAATGACCAAAAAATCATAATTCATTAATGTAATGTAACGCCGATGCAAGTAACCTCGTTACCAACAGCGTTATTTTTTGAGGAAAAGTAACGCCATTCGTTATTGTCTCAAAATTTAACGAGTACACGTTTCTTTTTTTTGAGTAGCATCGCAAAACGTTACTCGTTACATTAAATGATGTCTTAAAAAATGTGGAAAAATATATTTTATCTTTTTTATATATTTTTTTAAATTTTATAAATAATTTAAGCGGAGTTTTTTAATTCAGATCAACTACGAAAATTCTTCAGTTTTATTTTCTCTATTACATTTTTTGTTGTTGAATTTTATATAGCCAATATTCTTAATATAATTAATATTGAGTTAATCAAGGTTTAATAAATTTTTCAATAATATAATTTCTTTTTAAGAATAAATATGTCATTAGTATATATTTCTTCAGATGATGTTGAATTAACCTGCCCTGGCCCTAGTATGAAACATTTTCCCCAATAAAGAGAGCATTAAGTCTACACTTTGTAAGTGTAAATTATGCCCAAATTCATATATTTCAACCCTAATGCCCAACAGCTCAAATCTAAAAAAACATATGAAGGTAAAAATATGAATTCAGATTAAATTTTGATAAAGATAAAAATAAATTTGATGAGAATCTGGATGAAGGTTCTTGTGAAGATGATCTAATAAATTTTTTTGAAAATAAACATCATTCATTAAATATATTTAATAAATTTTTCCAATTAAAATTTTCATTTATTAAATATAATACAACCTCCTCATTATCGAGCACAACATCTGTGTTGAGCAATATGCGCTGTTGTTTATCTGATCAAAATTTCGAAAATCATATGTTGTTAAAAATGAATAAAATGTATATTTTAATTTTTATTATTTATTATTTATAAGAAAAAAAATAAATAAAAAGTAAATTTATACAAAATATTTGGTATTTTTTAAGTAACGAGTAAGGCGTTACTTTTTTTGAATAGCGAGTAATGCGTTCCTTTTTTCACAAGGTAACGAGTAATGGTAAGTTTTTTTCAAACGTAACGAATAACTGGTAACGTGTCTCTTTTTTGAACTAACGTTTACAGAGTAATGTCAATCAAAAAAGAAAACGTACCTAAGACTTTGGGATAGTCCCGATCAAAAAGAAAGAAAATGTCCCGATTAAATAAGGAATCCGATCAAAAAGAAAAATTTCCATTCAAAAAGAAAGTTATTTATTATATTTTTCATTGTCTTTAACATGATGAAATATTATTGTTTGGCATTTATCTTTACTTTTTTGTTATTTTTAGTTTTTTTTTCTCTTACTTTTTTACCATTTCATTTGGTTTTATGCCATCAATAATCTACTTTGCATCTTTTCTCTATATTATTTATTTATTTGTCTGCTTAGCCCTATGATCTTTGATTCCAATTTCTTTATTTTCACTGTCATCTTTTCCTTTTTCTATTCTCTATTTTTTTGTCATTCTTTCTCTTTTTTAATCTCCATTTCATTGATTGCTGAAAATAAATTCATAATTAGGCCCGGCATCTTTAATTTTTTATTTACAAATCAGACCAGGATATTTAAAAAAATATATATTATTCGGCTAGTTCTGGACGGGGTAGGTGTCTGGGCTATATATAATAATTCACTTATCATTTGGTATTGAAATTAAAATTTATTAAATTTTAAAATATGTAATTACCAAACGGTTATACTTTATTTCCCGCTATTGTAATAAGATAAGGTAAAAAGAGGGGAAAATGGTTAAGAATAAAGATAATAGAAAATTAGAGAAAGATGACAGGGTAAATAA